AACCAAAAAGAGAAAGATATGTATGAGAGAATGGTGGACGGCCTTGGAGGAATGGAAAAGAACAAATCCAAGCCTTCTGTAAGTTGACATTAAATAATAATTTAATAATTATTAATAATTATTAGTCTTTAAAAAAGAAACCTTAATATTGACCTGTTTACTTTACCCATTTGTTTTACCCATTTCAGTCCATGTGGTATTCTATTCAGAATAAGAATCTTTGATTTAGCTTCCATATATATGTTGTTGTCTTGTGTGCAAATGTTAAACAAAGAACTGATACTCAAGGGAATGACTTATGCAGGGTTTTTGAAGTTTTTTGAAGTAGGTGGTCATTCATTTTCCATTAATCATACACTTTTCCAATTTCCATGCTTCCTTCACAGATTTTCCCATGGTCACTAGTGTTTGGTGCTACTGTTATCGTCCTTGGAGGGATTGTCGCTGCATTATACTTAAACAGACATTAAAAAGTTTACTGCAACGACAGCTTGGGAGATTCAAAAGAGAGATCAATTGAGGCTAATACTTCATGTCAGCATCCCTTATGATTGTTAGCTGGAAAGTTTTGTATCAAAGTTATTAGCTTAAATGTGCTAAATTATAGTCAAACTGTCATGTTTCGCAGACGCTGTTGTTTATAAACTATAAATGTTTGATCAAAGGCCCTATACTAAATCTAGTTTGGTTTAGTACTTTCTGTATTCTAACCCTGTGGTGTTTCCTTGAATATAGCTTCTTTCTTCACAAAGGTTTTGGTGAGAGTCAATCCAAGTGCTCATTTCAATGACATTGTCAGAAAACAATAAAATTTTAAAGGCCACATTGTAATGCCTTGATTGCTGTCCAAAAAAAGCAACTAATAAGGTCTCTTCTCTGCAATTTGAGCTCCCATTGTCGCATCTCTGCAAATAAGCAGAGTGTTATTTTTACTAGGCAGTTGTTCCCATTGAAGTGGTCATCGCTCTTGGTCAATGAAAATCCAGAAGAAAATGATTTGAATAGGCAATGTGAGTCAAAGCTCCCAAACTCTGGAAAACCAAGCACTGCAAAAATGAAACTGGGAAATCAAAGGAACTATGAGGAAAAATATTTTATTTTCATCTGTTTAAATACTTAGATTTCCATAGAAAATACTGAAGGAAAATTGTCAGAGATTCATGTTTGTGCACATTGGCTATTATAAGTTTCTTTGATGATGTTGATGATGATTATGAATTATATAGCACCCTTTAATATGTGGATATAATCAAAGGTGCTTTACATGGAGTTGTGAATGACAGATTGATGATGATTATGATTTATATAGCGCCCTTTAATATGTGGATATAATCAAAGGTGCTTTTACATGGAGTTGTGAATGACAGATTGATGATGATTATGAATTATATAGCACCCTTTAATATGTGGATATAATCAAAGGTGCTTTACATGGAGATGCTACTCAGATTGCTTTTATGCAATTTACAAGCATGAGAGATGGTTAGTATGAAGTGTAGGCACTAAGGATGGTCACTGCCAGGGTTTCTTTTTACGTCCTCAGTGGTTCTTTTATGTACCCCAATTACTGTATGTTAGGAAGGTTTTGAAGACTTGAAGGTCTAAGGTCTAACCATATACAAGTATAATCACAAA